TCTTCAAAGACGATTAAGGGGTGTAATTGCTATAGTTATAAGGTACCACATAACACTTCCTGTGCAAGCTGACTTTATTCTTAAGGTAAAAAAATATTACAGGGAAAACATATTAAAAACAAAAGAACATACACAAATGCTAGTAGGCTTACCAGAGTCCACCCCAATCCTAACATGGATTCTGGCAGGTGCAATCCTCCAAGCCCCAAACCCAGGGGATTCCTTGTGGTTATAAATTCATCACAGCTTCAGTTTAGAACAGGCATGCTCATGACAAGTTTAGTCCACCCTTATACAATTCAGGGCACTTTGATCTGGAGTTTCCAGAAACTGGTAATTAGTATGCAATGAGTCTATCTTCTCCTGCATATCTTCGAAAAGTTGGCTTCTAGAGGAGAGAATTTGCATTCCCCTCACTCCAAGGTACTGCCTGGGAATCCACTTCACACACATTGTTCCAGAAGGCCCTTAGAAGTTCCTAATGCCATCCAGAAATTGCAGTAATCTTGTCTTCTTGCTAAAGAAGTTCCATACAGTTTCACACTAGAACAAAAAGAATTGCATTTTTAATCCAATGAACTCCAAAGATGTTTAATTTAATTCAGTAAAGTTTGATTAAATTTAACTTCATCTTAATTCCATAGGTTTGTTCACCATATTACAAATCCATAATCCATATTACAGGATATTGTCAGTCTGTCAGAGATCAGTGAGACTTAAAAATTAAATAAAACACAATACCTGGAAGATCATGATATGAATTGGTCTAACCAGCATGGTTTCTGCCGAGGAAAATCCTGTCTCACGAAATTCTTGGAATTATTTGAAGGTGTCAGTAATGTAGTAGGTAAAGGAAAACCAGTTGAGATTTATCTAGACTTCCAAAAAGAGCTTTGACAAGGTGCCTCACAAGAGGCTGTTAAAGAGGTTGAGTAGTAGTAATATGAGAGGCAGGCATAATGTTGTCATGGATCAAATACTGGCTAGCAGGCAAAAAGCAAAGAGCAGGATTAAGTGGCTAATTTTCATCATGGCAAAAGGTGAGTAGTGGGGTGCCTCCAGGTTCCATACTAGGTCCCAGGTGGTTAAACATATTTATTATGATTTGGAAAGGAGCATGAGTTAGTGAGGTAGAAAAATTTTCAGATGACAAAGTTATTTAAGTTAGTGAGGACCAAAAAGAACTGTGAAGAACTTCAGAGAAACCTAAGCAAGAAAGGTGAATGGACATCATAATAGCAGATGAAGTTCAGTGTAACTATATGCCGAGTAGTGAACACTGGGGAGAAAAATTTAGATTACTCATACCCCTTAAAGGGTTCAAAATTAACTGTATTGGCTCTGGAAAAGGACTTTGGTGTCTCTGTAGGCAGGTCAATTAAGACCTCTGTTCAGTGCATAACTGTGGTCAAAAAAGTAAACAAGATATTAGGACACATAAGAAATGGGATGGTGAATAATATGCAGAATATTATAATGTCATTATACAAATCATTGATGTGGCTTCACCTAGAATATTGTGTGCAGTACTCCATCTCAAAAAGATTATTGCAAAATTAGATATAGTTCAAGGAAGGGCAATGAGAATGATTAAGGGCATGGAAAAGCTCCTAGGAAGAGAGATTGAAAAGATTGGGATTAGAAAGAGGATGAATAACAGGTGATATGATAAAAATATGTCAAGTAATGAATGGCATAGATCAAGAAGTTCTGTTCTCCCTGTATCATAACTCAAGAACAAGAAGACATTAAAAGGTGGCAAATTCAAACTTATAAAAAAAGCTTCCTGTGACAATGAATTCCACCTTTTAATTACCAATGTATGTGGAAGTCAGTATGATCAAGAATTTAACAAGATTTAAAAAGGAATTGGACATTTACATGGACATAAAGAATATCCAGTGTTATAAATCATGCTAACAAATCTTTTAGAGAACAGGATGATACCTAATGTTGGGAGAAGATTATTCCATATGTTTTCCTTGTGGGGTTCTTACACCTTCCTCTGAAACTTCTGGTGCTGGACAGTGTTGGAGACAAGATACAGGACGAGATGGGTTTCGGGTCTGATCCAATATGGTAACTCCTATGTTCCTAATTGTGCTGTGCAAGTAGCTCCCATCAAAATCAATGGGACTTCTGCATGTGGACCCCTTGGAAGATTGGACCTTGTGCTATTTTTTATGGGTTAATCAGTCTAGTGGAATTATGTTTGATCTCTGATATCTGAGATAATACTTCTGATTATCAGAATTCTAATACTGAAGAACAGTTGACCCATGAACTTTCTGAGGGGAGAACTATAAATTTTCAGCATAGCATGATTGTCTCAGGCTGAACAATAAAAAGGCACGTCCTCAAAATGTGAACAGAAAGTTATTTTGCCTTTGAGTCTATTTCAGTGTGACCATAAAAGCAGGAGTACATACTCACAGCCTCATATATTGATTCAGACGTTCCTCTGTTCTGCCTCAAATTCATTGCAAAGCAAAGGATCATAAAAATAAAAGAAAATGGCTGTACTTGCCTCTTCCAGGAATGACTATCAGAACAGCCTCTTTCCAGGGCTCTCAGCTGTCCTGTGGAAATGGTATTGTTTATACACTTCTCCTGTTTACCATCATGTCTTGACAGAACTCAGGACTACTGCTGTGATGATATGTGTCTCGTCCTGCCCCCATCTCCAGAGTCAGAGAGAGAGAGAGAGATGGGGTCTGTAACCACCAAGATCCAAACTGATACCTCACACTGAGAGGCAAAGAAAGTTTTTTTTACTCACAAAACTCCAACCTCAGGCCCTGAAGTTAGGGGCCACAGAACAGCTTTTCTATAAACCCTAAACTGCTTCCTCAACATCACTTCCTTCCCCCACGTACGCTGAGAAGCATATATGTTTTAGGTGACAAATCTGAGGAACTGTCTCAGATTAAGATATCAGAGGAGGTTTTGGAACAAACTGATAAATTAAACAATACGAAGTCACCAGGACCAGATGGTATTCATCCAAGTTATGAAGGAACTCAAATATGAAATTGCAGAACTTACTGTGGTATGTAACCCATCACTTAAATCAGACTCTGTACCAGATGACTGGAGGATAGCTAATGTAAGGCCAATTTTTCAAAAAAAAAAAAAATGCCTCCAGAGGTGATCTTGGCAATTACAGGCTGGTAAGCCTAACTTCAGTATCAGGCAAATTGGTTGAAACTATAGTAAAGAACAGAATTGTCAGACACATAGATGAATACAATATGTTGGGGAAGAATCAACATGGCAATCATACCTCATCAATCTATTTGAGGGTGTCAACAAGCATGTAAACAAGGGTGATCCAGTTGATATAGTGTACATGGACTTTCAGAAAGCCTTTGACAAGGTCCCACACCAAAAGCTCTTAAGCAAAGTAAAGCAGTCTTGGGATAAGAGGGAAGGTCCTCTTATGGATCTGTAACTGTCTAAAAGATAGGAAAGAAAGAGTAGGAATAAATGATCAGTTTTCACAATGGAAAAAGGTAAATAGTGAGGTCTTCCAAGGATTTGTATTGGGACCAGTTCTGTTCAACGTATTCATAAATGATCTGGAAAATTTGATGCCCAGTCATCCAGTTTTGTGAGATCCCTTTGCAACTCTTTGCAGTCAGCTTTGGACTTAACTAATTTGAGTAATTTTGTATCGTCTGCAAGTTTAGCCATCTCACTGTTTACCCCTTTTTCCAGATAAAACTTGCAGGATAAACTTGCAGACGATACAAAATTACTCAAGATAGTTAAGTCCAAAGCTGACTGCAAAGAGTTGCTAAGGGATCTCACAAAACTGGATGACTGGATATCAAAATGGTAGATGAAATTCAGTGTTGATAAATGTGAAGTACTGCACATTGGACAACATAATCCCAGCTATACAGACAAAATGATGGGGATGTAAATTAGCTGCTACCACTCAAGAAAGATAGTTCCCTGAAAACGCCTGCTCCGGGTGCAGCAGCAGTGGGAAAAAAAGCTAGCAATGTTAGGAACCGTTAGGCAATGGATAGATAATGAGACTGTAAAAATCATAATGCCACTATATAAATCCATGGTACACCCACACGTTGAATACTGCGTGCGGTTCTGGTCGCCCAATCTCAAAAAAGAGATATTAGAATTAGGAAAAGCACAGAGAAGGACAGCAAAAGTGATGCATATGGAACAACTTCCATGTGAGGAGAGATTGAAAAGACTGGGATTGTTCAGTTTAAAAAAGAGATGACTCGGGGATATGATCGAGGTCTATAAAATCATGAATGGTGTGGAAAAAGTGAATAAGGAAGTGTTATTTATCCGTTCACATAACACAAGAACCAGAGTCACCCAATGAAATTAATAGGAGGCAGGTTTAAAATAAACATAAGGAAGTACTTCTTCACACAACTCACACTCCACCTGCGGAACTTGTTGCCAGGGGATGTTGTGAAGGCAAAAAGTGTGGCTGGGTTCAAAAAAGAATTAGAAAAATTCTTGGAGGAAAGATCCATCAATAACTATTGCCCAAGATGGTCAGGGACACAATCCCATGGTCTCAGTGTACCTAAACCTTTGACTGTCAGAAGATGGGATTGGGCAACAGGGGATGGATCACTCGATAAATTGCTCTGTTCTGTTCATTCCCCCTGAAACATCTGGCACCAGCCACTGTCAGAAAACTGGGCAAGATGGACCATTGGCCTGACCCAGTATGGCCATTCTTATGTTTTAAAAATGTAGATGTATAGATTTTAAGGCCAGAAGAGAACATTCTGATAATCAAGTCTGATCTCCTCTATAACATAGACCATACAACTTCTCAGTTTTGTGGGACATCTGAACTGAAGTGAATTTCACCCTTTGTGTCTTTGGGGAGAAAAAAATAAAGTTACTACTAAAAGTAGCAACAGAACTTCTTTGTGAAGTACTTCAATAATTTTGATTATCAATACTGTACATATTTTGTTTACATATGGAATTTGTTTTATGTATGACAGGTTGGATCTGGTCCAGAGAGTCTCAGAAAGAGATAGAAAAAGAAAAAAAAGAATATTACAGAAGACTAACATCTGTACAAAGAGATCTTGAATCAAAATATCGTGACACAATCACAGAAAATCGCCGCACAGTTGCTCACTTGGAGTTGGAGCTTGAAAAGGAACACAACAGAACCCTGAGTTATCGTGAAGCCCTAATCTCCCAGAGTCGCAAATTAGTAGAAGAAAGAAGAGTTCTAGAACAGGAACACGAAAAGTTGGAGCAAGAAAAGCAGGTTCTGCGGCGCTCAGGGGCAGCAGGTGCCTTGTACCAGAGTTGTCTTGCAAAAGAAGCACAATGGCAAAAGAGAGCTAATATTGTAATAAAAGAATTTGAAGAAGCACTTTTAGAAAGACAAGATATCTATTGCAGTTTTGTGCTGCCCAGAAACCAGCGACTAGAAATAGAGAAAAATTTGCTAGTTAGAGCTGCAACTGATCCTGTTGCTGTGGATATAGAAATGGAAAACGGTTTAAAAGATATTTTTAAGTATGATACATATTGTGGTAATGTGCTGAACACAAACAAGCGTCAAAATGGAAGACTAATGTGGCTTTATCTCAGATATTGGGAACTAACTGTTGAATTAAAAAAGTTCAAGAGGGTAGAGAAGGCCCTGTTGGAAAAATGATGTGTGGGGAAAGTAGTGGCATTTCATGTACTATGGCACATGTAATATATGATGACTCACTGGTATTCTAAAGATGCTAATTTCCTGTAGTACATTCATATATTTTCCCCCCTCCTCATTGCAGCCACATTTGCAGTACTCCCCATCCATGAAGGTGTCTCCACTATTGGTGCCTTTCCATTGATGGGCCAACAACAAATGCTCACTAGGCAGTGCAGTTTACCTTGAGACTGTGTCAACTGAAAGATACACTTTGTGTTCACAGCCAGGTTAGCAGAGAGTGCTCCCAACTCCTGATTTCCTGCATGGCAGTGCAACAAAACTCTCAGGAAAGTACTCGGAAGTGACTGTAACAGTGAGATTTCTTGTTATATTATTTAGATGTGAAATGCTTTCTCTGTACCAATGAAAAAAGTGTGGAATCATGTTTTCAAATTAGATTTGCATGGTCTTCCAAGCTTGATGTGCATACGTCACTTTACACTACGTTTATACAAAAAAATATTTGCTTGAAATACAAAGACAGGATGCTATTTAAAATAATACAGAACGAAAATAAAAACAAGGACTTTGATCTGCTGCTTACTGAAGTTAATAAAAATGAGGGTGTGATTGGTCTTAAATCAGGATTACATGAGAGTTGTAATCTAAAAGTTGCCACGTCAAGGGAAATCATACAATGGAAAAGTAAAACATTTAATCACTTATTTTTCCTTTGAGGTCTAGGTTACCAGATTGGACTTTTCCCACCTTGGTATTGCTGAAGGCCCTATTGCTTTGACTGATTGATCTCTAACGGGTTGATTATTTTAAGCCCATCTCTAGTAGACCGATATCCACATCATAAAAGCCATCATCACACACAGCAGAGATTTCAAGGATTGACTGGATGTAGAGACTAAACAATTCTGTTATCCTTACAAGTAGTCCCCCCAGATCAGGTGTGGGATTATATTACCTTGGCTCATGCACAGTGAGGAGTTGGGCAGGGAGTAAAACCATCACCTGGATTGATTTTGGGGAAGTAACTGAGCAAAAGAAATTCTCATGGAATTTTCCTCCTCAGCTTCCCTCATCTGGGTATTTCAGTCATGGGGTAATCAGCCCAGGATTCTGACCTAACTGTAGAATTAAACAGAAGAAATTATGTATTCACAGACAAATAAAAATAACAGCAGAGGAGTGCAGAAAATAAAATAATAAAGGCTTTCATTTTTCAAGTCTGTCCTGTTTAAAGTGCCTCTTGAAATGTTTGTTCTCTTCAGCAAAGGGAGAAAACATTAATCACTTACATAAAAAAGAGCAAAAGGAAAATGGATCTACAGTAACTGATAAGTAAAGTAACTGTATTTACATTGATTTTGTAGTGTTTATATCATTGTCAATTTCTATTAAATATTGTTTACATTGCAGCAAGATGAGCAATAACTGATTATTTCAGAATTAATTTTACTGATCTCTAGGACTAAATACATTATAGCATAATGTCTAACGTTAGGTAGAAAAAGAAATATGCTAAAGTGACAAACTTGGGCTAAATCTGACCCAAAATAAAGGTTTTGTAACAACTGTCATTTACAGAAACTAAGACCAACAGAAGCATATCCATGGATATTTTCCAAATGCCAGTGGTTCTGTCTGTGTTCTTATAACTGTGCACACCACTGTAATTTCTGGCTGCCTCCCAAGGGACAGAGCAAATACAAAAGGCTAATGCACTATACCAGGGTTTCCTTTGTACTTCCCCTGAGGTACTCAGGCAGTGGGTTTTTCATTTTTGTTTTAATTTGATTTGATTTTCTCCTATGGATTAACAGCATTGTGCTACTTCATAAGAACCTGAAAGTTAAACTACTAAAATCCAGAGTGGAAGTGATTTGGGCCTGCCTCAATCCTATATCAGGACCCACTATCCCGGACCCTTGCATCCACACAGAGCACAGGCTGAGGGATACACTCTAGTAGATCTCCATGTAGGACAGGGCCCAGGTCTTTTTTGTCAAATCTGAGATAAATACAAAGATAAAAAATGAGCATCCATTTCTATTTTGATAGACTGCCATTGGTTTGGCTTGGTGTACATAAAGAATGAAGACAGTCCACACCCTGAGGAGTTTAAAATTAAGTTAAAGAGTGAAGTGTCATTTTAAAAAAAATTCTTTGTGTTTTAATAATAAGATGTTATTTGTAACTTAAGTAAGGATATCAGTTTTCAATATTTTTATCCTGTCAGTGACCCTTTTATTAATTGTAGGTATCTCTCCTCTTAAAGTTAAAAATAACCCTTTTTTGATAAAAATGAGAAATATACACCCAATACACACACTAAAGCTTTGTAAATTCGTTTTACCTCTGTGAAAAAGGCCAAAAATGTTTGTCATCTTGGTTTACATTTTTCTATAGTTTTATCACTGATACCAACTCAAAACCATTTACAAAGAGGACATAGAGCTGAGAGGGCAAATCATTTTTCAGTTTATATTAGTATTTAAATTGTGGCATTGTTTAATTTATTCGTAATACAATGTTGTGATGTAATCAATGTATCAAAATGCCAGTTAGTAAAGTAGAGCTTTTTTTGTCAATACAAGATTCTTCATAGTTACATTTGTTTAACATTAGGCTAGTTAATGAAGGCATGACAGTGACTCAAAGGCGAAGTCCAAAAGCACATAATAGATTTAGGAGCACAAGTCCCACTGACTTTCAATGGGACTTGTGCTCCTAAATTTCTTAGGCACTTTTGTAACTCTCTCTCTCTCGCAATAGATAAGGTTGTGTTGGACGTTCCACTGTAAGCTTTATTTTGTCCCTGGCGCTTCAAATTTTGATCTGGGGAAGTAATTGATTTGCAATATAATGTAGGGTATAAGAAGATCTTTTTCAGAACATTTCATACTATGTCATACTACAGTTTTCAATTAACAGTTAAAAAAAATCAACATTTTGCTGCACTGTTTCATGGGGTTGTTTGTTTGTTTGCGGGGCAGTGGAGGGGTTGATCTCTTGATATAGGACAGGCTTTTATACTCCAAATTGACACTTGTATAGTTTGGTCTGAACTCTTGTGCACAGGATACTTTGAAAACCCTTTGGAATTTTTTTCTTTTAACAAAAAGAGAAGCAACAAATAATCATCACCAAATTGATCCCTGCCAATTTTATCCCTGCCAATAGATGACATTAGCTGGCATGAGAAAAACACTTCAGCCAGTCAGTTAGTGTATTTGTTACATAAGTCCACTTGCCTACTACCATGCTCCCTCAAACATCGCACACACCCGAGCTCCCTTCATTCAATCTCCAATACTCCTGACTACTTCCTATGGATCCCCACATCACCCCAACCCACCCTCAGTGTTCAGAGGCTCCTTGGGGGCCCGCATTACCTCTGTGAGCCTAGTTAAGGTCAGACTCAGTGAGCCAAAACAGTCTAATTGGGAACTGACAAGCCTCTTTGAGGTGGCGGAGAGGGCTGCCAAATACTCTGTTCCTTGGCTCTCACCATGACCCATCCCACACAAAGTGCCCACAGCCTTTCAGCTCAGTCACACTCCACCCAATATACCAGTTCCTCTGTCTTCTTGCTGCCCTCTTTTGTATCTTGCCCTGTCCCTTCTTTGCCTGTCCCACAATGCCTCCTAACGCCTTTCCTCTCTCATGCAACCTAACTAGAGTGACCAGATCCTCTGAGCCTTCACCTCTAAGCTTCCCAGCTGTCCGTAGCTCCAGCACCACTCCATCACTTCCTCAGTATTCTGACAATTACATAACAGTAGCTAAACGAAGAGAAACTGTGAGAATAAGCTAATATGTGTATGTTGATTGCATACATCATAGAGATGCTGATTGCAGCTTCATTGATAAAGATGCATTGAGAGTTCCTTTGTAAGTCATGTTTTGACACACAGCCTACGCTCATCCAGAAAACGTTATAGAAAGGAGCTATTACTGTGAAATATTGGAAATGAATCTAAGGGAGGAGCAGAATTTTTCTATTAAATTTGGTATCATAATTGTTAATGTAACCCTCACTTGTGATTTCGGGGGGGGGGGGTGTTTTATTTTTAATGAATGAATTAATTGGTTCTTGTATTGCACTCAGCAGCCTTATCTGAAACTTAATAAGGTTTTATGTTTGGGGATATTTAGAGGTGAAGTTACTATCAACATTAGCCTAATCCTTCTGTATCCCTGTCATAGTTTCTGGACCAGTGTAGGTAGATTGAAACAAAGTGCCTGTGGGTGCGTGGTGGGCTAATATTTTACAATATATGATACAGAACACTCTGCTGATTTCTAGAGGAAGTGCCCATGTAACTTGGAGCAGAATTTGGCCCAAAGAGTTCAGAGACCAGAATGCATCCATCATGTGCTGAAAGACGATGTCACTGAGTGTGCAGTCAGTACGATAGACTGAGGTATAGGGAGAGCCAGTGTAAACATACATCTTGTCATACGTGGTTGCTTGCTTAAAATGTGAATCATTATTTGTGATAGGTTAGTTATCTGTAAGTAAGACAATTAGCCACATTGTCAGGTAGATCAAGCTCAAAAGTGTCTGTTTCTTAAATATTAATGGAAATGTATTAAATAACGGGGGGAGGGAGGGGTTCTTTTCAGAGTTAAATGGAAAGTATATTGTTTGGGTTTAAATTCCTTCCGCAATCCTCTTTGTCGGGTGCTGTCTTCCCCTGCAGCATATATAGCTGTGATAAGTTTACAGTCAGAAACATTTCTTCACTTACTGTGTACATTACCATGCACACCTTTGATTCTGTATATACTCATTAAATAAAAATTAAAGGGATGGGCTGCAGCAAACAGGTTAGTCATCACCCACACAAATAGCCAAAAAAGACAGGCAGCCAGTAAACATGGTTTCTGAGGAAATTTGAGGATCTAATATTGGCAGGTGCCATCTCCACATTATCTGTCCTTGGAGATTTTCCAAAGTATTCGCTTTCATGAATCACTGAGTCTCTGAAAACAATCTATTTGTGCACCTCCTGGCTTCATATTTACCTATCAAAATAGGACGATAATTATGTCACAGGTAGCCTACTAACAGGTAACAAAAAAAAGTACTGCCCAATGCCACGACAGAAATTTGCATTGTATTATAATTAGAAAAATGTTAGTTTCCCATGTGTATACTGAAAATATACTCAATGTGTACAATGCTGTCCCAAACTTCTGCCTGTCTGGTACCTACCTGTGTGTGCATCTATTAAATGTAAATAAAGACTTGGAAAATAAAAACAGTTTATGTGCTTTTGATCAGAAGGGCACTGATGTACATTAAGGGCTGCATCCTGAAAGGTATCTCAAATGGGTCATTTTTAAGGGAATACCTTGCCAGGTTTGGTGGTGTTCTTGAGGACTGCAGTTGGCATTGGTCTCTGTGATACACAAACCATAGGAGGGTGAAACCAGGTTAGAACTGCCAAACTGCAGGTTAGAACTGCCAAAGTTGAAGTTACATCTTCTATGCAATGAGTAGGAGTCAGTTGCAGAGGAGGATGCTAGAAATGGCTGGAACATTTTCAGCAAAATGGGTTTTGTTGAAAAATG